AGTACAATAAAATCCAAAACCCCCCCCCCCCCCCCATGCTAGTGTAAGGACTTACCTTAAATGATGCCTCTCGATCTGATCATCTTCTTTCCAGTAGTTAGCAGAAGTCCCTCCAGCACTGGTGCCGGTCTCTGATCCAGCGCTGACTCCTGTCTCTTCCTGTCCCACGGAGTCTGTGCACGTGCATGCTGCTGCATTGACTTACCCTGTGTCTCTCCTCTTCTCCCGTCCGAAGATCTGAACTGTGCATGCGCCCGCCCCAAGATCCTTTGTAGCCGCCTGAGAATTTTCAGATCTTCGGAGGAGAGCGTGCGGCAGAGACACAGCTAAGTTTACACCTGTTTGATAATTTTTTTTTTAATGTTTTTGCATATGTCTACTGCTTGCCAGCAGTAGATATATCCAAAAACACGGGAGGCTTTAAGAACCCTTTAAGTGGTTACTGTTTAGCAGAGTTTTTCTCTATGAAAATATAAAAAGTAGTGAGTGTTATACTGTAAATTGGATGTTTGTAATACTATGATTATTACCTTCTTGTGTAAGTGTGTTTTTTGGCTTTATTTCTGCATTTTATAGTGGGCGGGAAGTGAGACAGTGCCTGCAATTAACACAACAATACAAACCTATACCTATAATGTACTTAAAATAAGTGTTTCACGGTTAATAGATGAAGGCTTTTTGTGCTGTAATGATTTTTTTTTATGATTATGCCAATAAAAATCAGCACTTACAAACATTCCCTTTAGCTAGAGATGATAAAAATGTTACATAAAACTCACCAAAATGTGCCTGTTTGGGAACTGGGAAGTCAGGGAGTGTAACAAAATCATGACAAGTCATTATAATAAAGTCCACTGTGAAAGAAGCTCTTAAAACCCCAATTTGAACTTCAGTTTAAATTAGCTAAATACATTCCTGACGCATCAACACAAAAGATGTTCAGTGTTTTAGAGTTCCTCTTTCTAAATTAGCTACAGCTTGAGTAGAAAATCCTGTCCTCTGCCAGCAGAGTAGGTATGTGTTGGTGGACGCTGGACTCCAGGGTGGACAATAAGTAGGAGTCAATTGTGCATTGTGCTGCAGTGTCGTCTTGCAAGATTTAGGCTATTCAACATTCCAAGGGATCTTGTCGGCAGGGGGACTACTTTTCAGTAACTATCACTAACCACTGTCCCTGGATGCATGATTGATGCATCCAGGGAACATGATATATTCCAAACTGCATTTGATCGTATCACATACAATTACATGCTGCTTACAGATGAGGCTGCTGTCACCTGATCATTAACTTGAACGGGTGAAAGCAGCCGCATCTGAACTCGACATTTGGGATTCTTGCCACAGGAATCCATAGGTTCCTGCCACTGGAATCCCAAATCGCACATTCGTCTGAATGTACAGTAAACTATGTTGTCAGAGGGTCAGTGGTGACTTGAGGTCCAACACTTTCTGCCAGCCAACTTGCCTGACTTCATACAACTCCTTAAAGTACGTAATAGTGTGAAGTAGGGATGCACCGATACCAAGTGCAGTACTCGGTACAAGTACAAGTACAGATACTTTTCCAGATCCAGGACTAGACTAGAGAAAGATGTAAAAGTTAGGAGGCGGCTGTCATTTGTAAGGAGCACACGGAGCTGATGGGATTTTTACATCTCTGTTTTATTGTATGATTTTTGTTTTTATAAATATAAATATAAGTGATGCACCGATACCAGTTTTGCGAGGACAAGTACTGATACTTGTCCAAGTGCTCACAGATACAAGTACTGATACATTTTTGTTTATTGTCATGTTACTGTTTTCCTAAAACAATATTGACTAATGATTTCAGGACAGTGGTGGAGCACCAGAGCCAAGTTCCTGCTGCAACCGCTGCAACCCTGATGGTTCGCGTAAAAATGCCAAGTATCGGCATTGGTACTCAAAAAGTATCGGTGCATCCCTAGTGTGAAGTAACGGTTTCCTGCAGTTGTATGCATTGCCCTTAACTATGCAGCTGTGTAATTTGAGTGTTATGCACACTCAGAGGCTGGATGGCAGTATGTGAGGTCAGGCAGGTGACGAGGCAGTAACTGTCAGACATTAGGGGACCTCTGACACTCTGATATTCCAGGTAAAGTGGCGGGATCAGACAAAGATCAAATATAAGTACCGGTTCTTTAGATGTTTCATGAAGAATTGACCTTTCTTTAAACCTTTGGATTTAATAGATATTGTAAATGTGATTTCTATCCAGTGACTGATAAAACAAGCTGTACATCATGCATTTCAACATTGTATATTTTTATTTTCTTTAAGGCAGAGACCTGTGGGTTTTCGTTGTGGGATTATATCCAACCGAACACAAAATTGGCATTCCTGATTTCAAGTACATTGCAAACATGCATGGCAATGAGGTATGCTTCTTTTCTAATGTCCAGTTTTGTACATAGATCCAAAGAAATTGTTTTACTGTAATCAGTGCCGGATTTACTCTCCCTCTCTCCCTGCCGTCCCAAGGCCAGGTTCCACAATGCACCCCCCTCCCCCCCAAACTCCCCCCCGCCCCCCATCAACGGAGAATGTTGTGACAGGTTCTCTTTATTGACCCTGTCACCTCCAATACAGCGCAGCACTGTGCTGGAACTCCTGTGATAGCTGAGAGGGGAAGAGAACAGTTCTACCCTCTCACTGTGTACACGGAGCGGCAGGGTTACTTCCGCTCTGCTCACCGTATCGGCGGTCAGTGAGGAGAGACTCGCCGCCCGGGGGAAGGACTTCACGGAACCAGTGGAGAGAGGTAGGTGCGGGGGAGGACGGCCAGGCTGCACACATTTTACACGTGATCGCGGCGATGTCGCCGCTATCACCTGTAAACGAACAAGCGGCTTCCCCGCACTACATTTAGTCCTGCCTTCCCAAAGCAGGACTCAATGTAGAAGGCAACTTACCACCCGGCGCCCGGAACCTCATGTACCGGGCCTTGTGGGATTCCACACCGCTGCCGCCCCTCTGCGCCCTGCCGCCCCTAGGCCTGGCCTTGGTGGCCTTGTGGGGGATCCAGGCCTGACTGTAATACATTACTTTAGCTGCACACCAGATATATGATCACTACTACAGCTAAAGTGTAGTTTCTGGAAGTGCCATTGGAGTGAAAGAGGCAGGTGTGACTAAAACTAACCTCTATGCCAGGGGTAGGCAATCTCAGCACTCCACTCCAATCATGCCTCTGCCTCTGGGAATCATGCCTATAACTGTCAGTCTTGCAATGCCTCATTGGACTTGTAGTTCCACAACAGCTGGAGTACTGAGGTTGCCTACCCCTGCACTATGCCTTCATTCCAAAATCTAACAGGTTTATTCACAAAAGGGTGAAGCGTTTGGAGAAGGCAGGAGAAGTGAACAATCTAGGACAACATAGCTGATTTGGAAAGATTCTCCAATTCAGCTCACTTTCCATTTCAGCTATGTTGTCCTAGATTGCTCACTTCTGCCTTCTCCAAACTCTTCACCTTTTATTAATAGCTCTGTAAGTGGTTTCTTGCTGTTTGTGACCCCACTGGAGATTTGCACTCACTTCCTGTCCCAGTGTCAACTTTGGACATCAAATAAAGATTAAACAGAACTTATAGCTTTTGACCATTCTATGCAAATGTTACAAATATTGTGGCTGGAGTTACACTTTTTTAAATTATTGTTTTGTTCAAAGAGGTATACATTGCTATTTTTCAAAAAAATAAACAAGGAAGTATTCCAATTACAAATGCGCAAATCGAAAGGTCAAGGATGATACAGTGCCAGAGAGTACAGACAAACAGTAAAACAGCATTCGTATACAGAATACAGGTACATTACCCTTTCAAAAAGGTTTTGAGTGTGCAGCGCTATTAAAGTGAATAAAGTGTAATTCCCTCTTCGGGTATATCAAAAATTTATATAAATAAGTTATGGACAAAGTTAATCAATCCTAAAGGGTAGGGAATTTCCATAGAGTGAATATGCAAATTTAATATATATAGTGACAAAATAATCTATTGTGTTCCAATGTTCCACGGGCAACATAACTGTACACAAAAGTTTAGACATTATTTGATGCACAGTTTTTTTTTCACCAGGAGGATATAAGAATATAACTATTGTTTATGTTGTGGCATTTCACAAATATTTTTTCACCGCCATTGGAACACAATAGATTATTTTGTCACTATATATATTAAATTTGCATATTCACTCTATGGAAATTCCCTACCCTTTAGGATTGATTAACTTTGTCCATAACTTATTTATATAAATTTTTGATATACCCGAAGAGGGAATTACACTTTATTCACTTTAATAGCGCTGCACACTCAAAACCTTTTTATCTTCACAAAACATAGCGCAGCAGCTCTCACATCGCACCCAGTCCAGAAGCGCAGATTTTACATTGTTTCACATTACCCTTTCACCCTCTACTCAGCAAATTGGGCTCTACAGAAGCATATTTCAACCCCTTTCATCCTATCAACCACCTAGACTAGGGGTTGGCAACCTCGGTGCTCCAGCTGTGGTAAAACTACATCTGCCTCTGGGAGGCATGTCAGTGTTTGTCAGAGCCTTGCAATGCATCATGGGGCTAGTAGTTCCATAACAGCTAGAGTGCCAAGGTTGCCTACCTCTGACCCAGACAAAATCAAAGAATGATTGTTAAGGGCCCCAGGTCTCTCATACTGTATGTACGCTTTCAAGTGGGACTGTTTTATTTAACTCAGCCGTCCGATGATCAATGGAGGGAAGTAGATGTCAAAACAATCACCATACTTTCTGCAAACCGGGACCTAGTAATTGTTTTCCAATTGGGGGACTTAAAAATCCCAAAAAGCAGGAAAGAGGGGGTGTTGCTGAGTTCCAAATACATGATTATTTTAGTTGGGTGAGGGACAAGACCTGTAAGTGTTATTAAACTGTTACAGAGAAAAATCAGGTCTCCTACCCTGCCAGACAGAACTGTGGGTGGCAAACCTGTATATATATATCTCAGAACTGGATGGACATATATACAAATACATTGACAAGTAAAACAGCTTCCATATGTGTAATGGTAGCGTTTTGCCTGGAATTCAGCTACAACACAATTGTGGATTGCTAACACAGCGGCCTTCTGGTATGACCTCTCCCCCTTGGGTTAATAACAATTGTAACAAAAAGAAAAAAAGACCAATATGGATATGTTATATCGTTCAGGTGAATTCATTTTATATACCATTTTTTGTTAGATTAGTCCATGATCCCCTGAGGAAGCAGTGTGTGAAACGCGTTAGGACTGGATATACTAATCTCCAATTGAACAAATATGGGGTATCAAATGAATGTAGTTGGTCATATGGGGATATGAGATAATCTATGGCCCGATGCTCCTGATTATGATAATGGTGCTTTTTGTACAGTGCAATCATCTTGTATACATGTTTTTATACTATTTATGTAATGTTTAATAAATTCCACTTTTATAAAATATCTCCATGCTGTGGTGTTATACCTCTCAAAAACCCCTGTTCTTTCCTTTTTGTTACAATTTTAATTCAGCTACAATAACAGGAAAATTTAATTTCATACTTACCGCAATTTTTCTTTCCTGTCTGGCTCCGTGGCAGCACACAAATGGGTTAATGTCTCCCTCCTCCCCCTAATCAGGATTGTAACTCATACATTTGGACGAGTGGGCCCTGTACTGCCATGGAGCTAGACAGGAAAGGAAAATTGCGGTAAGTATGAAATTCAATTTTCCTGTTTTCCTGTCAGCTCCATGTCAGCACATGAATAGGAAATAACTAGCCAAAAACAGGGAGGGTATGCATGAAAATTTAATTATACACCCATAGCAAAATAAATAATCGAACTGCCAAAACCTACCGTAGTCAAGGCAGCTGGATCTACACAATAATGATTCATAAACGTGTTCCGAGAAGACCAAGTGGGTGCCTTACAAATAGTCTCTAAGGACACTCGATTTGCTGCCGCCCAAGACGTGGAGAGACTCCTCATTGAATGAGCCGACACTCCAGATGGCACAGGTAGGTGGTTAGCTTCGTAAGCTAATGTTGTAGCTTTCACTACCCACGAGGCAATGAGCCTACTGGATGCCACAGAGACAAGGTGTCCCCAAATGTTTCCAAGGCCAAGAAATCCAAGACTAGGGGAAGGTCCCATTTAGGGAACAGTTGTGTCCTGGGTGGTCTAACCTGCAACACAGCTTTAAAAAACTGCTACAACAAGAGTATCGGAGGCAAGATGGAGACCCGTAAAAGCCGATATTGCTGAAATCTGGCCCTTGAGGGTGCTAATGCTCAAATCCATGTCCAACCCATGCTGCAGAAAATCCAACACATTCCTGATCTGCCGGTTCAATGGCCTAAAGTCATGAGCCAATGCGAACTCTTGGAATTTCATCCACACCCTATTGTATGTACGGTTCGTGCTGGCTTTCCTCGAAAGAAGAAGAGTGTTGACAACCCTGTCTGAAGATCCCAGCATGACAAGCCTCCGCCTCTCAACATCCAGGCCATCAGGCAGAGCTTCATTGGTGCCGGATGCAGGACTGGCCCTTCATAGAGAAGGTTGGGTAAGAGCGGCAGGGACCGTGGGGGTCGAACGCTCAGTTGGCGCAGGAGAGGATACCAAGGCCTCTTGGGCCAGTTCGGAATGACTGCCAGGACTGTCACATCTTCTCTGCGGAGCCTCCTCAGGAACTGAAGAATTGGAGGAACTGGAGGAAAGGCATATGCTGTCCGGAACGTCCACTCCGCTGTAAGGGCGTCCGTCGCCAGCACCTGAGGGCAAGGAAACCTTGACTAAAACTTTACAATCTTGGTGTTGACTCGGGATGCAAACAGATCCACCTCTGGAACAAAGCTCCAATTCCGAAAAACTTGATCCAGTAGGCACAGCTCGCGAGACAGATGGTCCGCCTGGAGATTGAAGGCACCTGGAACATACACTGCCAAAATGTGAAGAGGATTGACCTAAGCCCAAGTCAGAATAGGGGAGACCTCCATCAGCAAGGAATGGCTGCGTGTCCCCCTTTGTCTCCTGATATAAGCCACAAGCAGGACGGACTTCCCTAGAACTAGCTGCTTGAAGGCTAACAGTGCTTGAAAAATCGCTCTCAACTCCAGAATATTGGAGACGATCCCTCTCGCCTGAAAGTCCCATCTCCCCTGAGCTATCTGACCCACAAACCCCCAACCCAGCTTGCTGGCATCTGTGGAAATGATCGTCCACGTAGTTGGGTGGAGAGACTGACAGCAGAGGAGATTGCGGTCCTTGAACCACCAGCTGAGGCTGCTCCTCATCTGGGGAGTAATTCGAATCAGTTGGTCGAAAGACTCTGTCCGCCATTGTCTCAAGAATCCGGTCTGGAAAAATTGGAACCTCCATTGGACCCACTTGACCATGGTAATCTGAAGACAGTGAGATGCAGGAAGAAGATCGTGCATGAGAGCCACTGAAAGGCGTTGTTTGACAACAGGAAGATTCTCCAGAGGAAGAGAGACCGTATCCAGTCTGGCCCCCAGGTACACCAGGTCTTGTGATGGAGAAAGATGACTATTTTCCTAATTTATTAGCCAACCAAACCGCTACAGTGTCGAGATCACAAGTGATAGGTGCTCGAGCAATGACTCTCAGTCCTGATGCAACAACAGTATGTTGTCCAGGTAATGGAAGATACACACTCCCTGCGCTCGAAGTAAGGCGACTACGGCCAGAAGAACCTTGGTAAACACCCTTGGAGAAGTCGTGAGCCTGAAGGGAAGACAAAGGAACTGATAATGGAGGTTGCCCAGTGAAAACCGGAGAAAACGTTGAAAAGAAAACCGGATGGGAACAAGGAAGTAGGCGTCTTTTAAATCTATGGAGAGCATCCAATCTCCGGGATGTATTACTTTCAAGATAGTTTGCGACGACTCCATCTTGAAATGGTCTTTTGTAATGAACTTGTTCAGAAAAGTCAGGTCGATCACCGGCCTCCAATCCCCAGTTCTCTTCGGTACGAGGAAAAAAGGAAAGTAAATGCTCCCAAAAAACACTCCTGCTGTGGAACAGGAGATATCACGCCCTGAGCTAGGAGGTTCTCCACATAGGAAAGGAGAATTGACCTCCGAACATGGTCCAAGGAAAGCTGTGTCGGGCGAAAAACGGAACCAGGGGTTTTGTCAAAAACCCAGCAATGGCCCTTGGTGACAGTCTCCAGAACCCAAAGGTCTGAGATATTGTCCGCCCAGATTTTCCCGAACTTGGCAAACCTTGCTCCAACCTGGAAAACCTGGACGGGCAAGCCTTCAAAAGGACTTCTGAGGAGCCTTTTTAGGTCTAGAGAAAGCCGCAGTAGGCCGCCAGGGGCGGCAAAGTTCCTTCCCTGGCTTATAAGCCTGGGCCTCTTTCCCCCTGTTAAACGCCTCTTTCCTGAACAGCGCGTTCTTTTGTTTCATAAGCCTCCGGTCCTGAGGTATAATGCCAGATTTGCCCCCGGTGGCCTTGGCTTTCGTGGTGTCTAGCTTATTGCCAAACAGTGTCTGACCTTCAAACGGGATCTTACACCACCCTTGTTTGGAGCTGGGATCAGCCACCCATGGCCTGAGCCACAGGGCTCTTCTACCGGTGACTGCTGACAACAAAACCCTGGCTAAGGATCAGATAACATCTACCGATGCTTTGGCAAAAAAGGTGGAAGACAACCTAATATTCCTCAGAAGAGACAAGATCTCGGATTTACCAAGATCTTCAGAAACAGCCGTTTCAGCGCTGTCGACCCAAGCTCCCAGGGCTTTGGAGGTCGCTGCCATGGCAACTGCAGGCCATATGGCCATAAGGTAGATCTTTTTAAGATCTAAGTCCGCCCTCTGATCCAAGACATCCTTGAATGTAACTGCATCATCCAGAGGCAACGTGACGTGTCTCGCTAATCTCATGAGGGCTGCATCGACAACAGGGGACTCCTCCAAGTGCTTAAACTCTTCCTTTTTAAAGGTATACAGCTTGGAGAATCTATTGTGGAAGGAAGAAGACTTCCTCTCAACTTGACTCCACTCATCCAGAATAATATTCTTAATCTCATCCATGAAAGGAAATTACAACATCTCTTTCCTAACATGTTTGAAATATCGTCTTTTTTTCTCTGGCTGTTCCACAGCCTCTTTCCAAAGAAGAGCCTGTCTGACGGCCTTAAAAAAGGGCTGAACTAAGGCAAAATCAAATCCCTCGAACTGGTCATCGTCACACTCTGAAGAGAAGAATCTGAATGGGGGCCAGAAGAATCATGATCTTTACTTGAACCAATAATTCTGGATAGACCAGGTCTAGCCTCCGAATCCGTTCTCCCACTAGGTCCGCTCTGAGCCTGCACCTGTGCGGAAGAGAGTTCCCTCAACGTGTCCTGAAATCCTTCTTCATCATGGACATGACTTGCGAGTTGTCTGCATCTCTATCCTTGGACACTCTTGGACAAGCCGAGAGCCAGATCTAGAACTACAACAGATGGCAAATGATAAGAAAAACATAATGCTGACCTTTAGACAGCAATCCAAGCAAAAAAAGGCAGGTGCCCACCCTCTCTGCGATTGGCGATCTTTCGCGGTGGAAGATATGTCCAGAGGCATGCTGTAAAGTAATATGACTAAGATCAATGCAAACATAGAGAAACAAGAAACTGGCTAAGCAGAATAATGCAAGCACCCACCTGAAGGTAAGAACTCTGATGGTCTGGCTGACTGTCAGGACGGTACAGCGACACGACACAGCCAGCACCATGGTGAGTATCCATCAGATTCAAATAGCCTCTGGCACCTGACTCCGCCCTATCAGGCTCCCCTATAGGCCGGAAGTGATCAGCGAAACGCATCTGTGTTCCACTCCTCCATCTGCCAGGAACCCCTGGCCCCTGTGCAACAGAAGGCTATGCGGCGGCGGAGCTGACTTCACCGGAACGCACCAAGTGTGTTCCAACCTCCTCCGCCAGAAAATAACCACGGTTGAAAACCGGAAGTCAGCCGGCAGCTGAAGTGACCTCACTGGAACGCATGGCGTGCGTTCCAACAGCCGCCGGCCGGACTCCACAGCTCTCAGACCTATCACGCCATGCTGCGGCCACAAGAGAGGAAGGAGACACTGCTGACAGCAATAATAAGTCGGGAGCCATACTCCCAAAACATGCCACACAAGCTTCCCCCCCAGCCTAATCCATGGTGGCTTGCACCTGGTAAGCTTGCCCCGAGGATCGCCAGCGGGGCTCCCAATATATCGTCCGTTTAGGAAATGTAATGGGGACTTCGCCGAACCAAGCAGATGGCGGACAGCGAGGATCTTATCCTTGCCAGGTAGGCACACTGCAAAAAAATCCTGTAGATTAGTGAGTAAAAAGAAAGAACACAAGCTGGGTTTGTTATGAGTTACAATCCTGATTAGGGGGAGGAGGGAGGGATTAACCCATTCGTGTGCTACCAAGGAGCTGACAGGAAATAAGGTTTACATTTGTTCAGATATAGGGTTAATGTGCTGCTGTGTGTAGATGACAAGTCCTCTTTATTTAAGTTTTCATATATTTTTCTGCATTTGTTTTCATTCAATGTAGGTAGTCGGGAGAGAACTGATGCTTCACCTAATAGAATACCTCCTGATAAATTATCAGTCTGATCCAGTTATTAAACAAATGGTTAACAAAGCCCGCATTCATATAATGCCTTCTATGAATCCGGATGGCTTTGAAATTGCAGAGGTTTTGGACTGTAGCTCCTTACAGGGACGGTAAGTCAGCGCTTCTTTTCTCCTGTGGGGCCTGGGACCTATTTGGGTCGAGAACCCTTTCGATGACACGCAGGCACAAATGTGCACACACACATACATACAAATACAGCATACAAAAGTTTTAGGAGCTTGTGAAAAATTTTTGTGAATTGAGGCTGCCTAAAAAAATAATGAAATTAATAGTTTTTATTTATATATTAACCACCTACAAAGTATGTTGTATGTCTTACTGCATCAATGTCCCACACAGGTAGAAATTGGAAGGAAGGCGGATGTTTCCAAATGGGTTGTTAAAGCTTTTGAGCAAAAGCACAAAGAAGTGGGCAACATTAAAGGAGAACTATGAGGTGAGTGATTTCCACTCATCCTCATAGTTAGAGCCGACCTGTGACAAAGAGGCTGTCACAGGTCGGCTCTATCGATCGGAAAGTGAGTAGGAACATGGACTGATCCGCTCACTTTCCGATCGTCTCCCTGCAGTGAGCGGTAACTGTCAGTCACCATTCCCCACAGGGATTCCCCATTCCCCTCTCCGATCCTCCAGCACTGAGTGGAGGAACGAACAGGGGAGGAGGCGGGCACAGCTGGCTCTGTCTCTAGATAGGCAGAGCCAGCTGTCACTCACGCAGCTGGGTGGATCTCGACAGTATTGTCGGGGTCTGTCTCGGCTGCGGCACTCTCAGTATTGACCGGCCGCGATATACTGAGCTTTGGGTCACGGGAGGAGGTTAGTTTATGTCCTCCTGTGACCCTAAAGAGAACTATGGGGAAAAACACTTACCCCATAGTTCTCTTTTAAGTACCGAAAGCACAATGGCGGGCAATTTCTGCATTTCTACAGGTGGTGTTGCAAATTTGGTCTCCTCAATGCTGAAAAGTACAGACAGATATTTATCTATGAGTGAGGCATCTGATTGGCCCCAAATTCATTCTGTAGCAGGACAGTGACCCCAAACATACAGCCAATCTCATTAAGAACTCTCTTCAGCATAAAGAAGAACAAGGAGTCCTGGAAGTGATGGTTTGGCCCCCACAGAGCCCTGATCTCAACATCAAGTCTGTCTGGGATTACATGAAGAGATGGAAGCAACTGAGAGAGCCTAAATCCACAGAAGTGTGGTTAGTTCTCGTAGATGTATGGAACAACCTACCTGCAGAGTTTCTTTAAAAAAAATGTTTACCTAGATGAAGTGATGGTGTTTTTAAAGGGTGGACACACCAAATATTGATTTGGTTTAAGTTTATTCTATTTATGAGCTGTATAGATTGTTACTTGTTAAAGAAGTCCAGCATAATTATGGGATGCACCAAAATTTCGGCCACTGAAACATGTCGTCCAATCATGGTACTTTTGGCAAAATCCCGAAAGTACAATTTTTTTTGCCCGAAAATGCGGTGCATCTCTAGTTTCTCTCCTCCTCGCTGGGCGCTGCTCTGTGTCCCCTCTGACATAGAGAAGTGCCGAGTGGGGAAGAGGGAAACTGTCACAGGTTGAGCGGGGTGGGGATGAGAGCCCTGTTAGCGGTGTCACAGACTGTGTCCCCAATTATGAATGAGCAGTGCGGGAAGTGCTATAGATCACTTCCTGTTCATTCATGATTGTGGATATAGTAATTCATACTATATCCACAGTTTATGAATGGACAGGAGCACTCAGTACAGAGGCTTCCTGTTCATTCATAACAGGGGCTGCAGAATAAGTCTTTGAGGACTCTGAAAGGGTTATTCATAAAGCTAGCCAAAGGATCAGCCGTAGCTCCAGCTGATCCTTTGGCTAGCTTCGGCCGCCTGAGCCCTTCGTTTCAGTAGAACTGAAAGGCTGCTGTATGGGCTATTCACTATAGCCCGTACAGCTCCCGAAGCGGACCGATCGGCTCAGCCGAGCCGAAGGCATATGCTTCGGCATGACTGAGCCGAAGTAAAACCTGAAGCGTGCCAAACTGCCGGCCGCAAAGCCTCGCAACTGACAGGTGGGCGGAGCCAGCCGTGATCTCATGGCCGGCTCCGCCCAGTTGCAACCTGGGGACACTTCTCTGTCATTATACAATGACAACTTGGCGGAACTTGCCGACTCCACCCAGTTGTTTTTAATTGGCCGGGCCCTGCTTGAAGACTCTAGCACAGTGGTCCCCAACCCCCGGTCCGCGGACCGTGCTAGCTGTCACTGCTAGCTCCGCCCAATTGTTTATTTTTTCTATAATCTTTTTCTTTTTTTCAATCATCTTTAATTTTTTTTCTTTTTTAAAATCTTTATTTATTTTTTAACATTGATCATTTATTTAGATATTTAGATGTGGAAACAGTTTTTTTTCTACTTTTATCACTGTTTTACTATTCTGCTTGGTACCACGGAGGTACCGAGCAGAATAGCCGAGGCGAATGCAGCTCGGCAGCTTTGTGAATATCCTACTGTGTCCTCAAACTCTTTTTCTATTTCAAAAGTGAAATATCAGGGATCTGTTTAGACCCCTGATATTTCACCAAAGCCCCCGACGGTAAAGTTAAAAACAAAAAATTTAAATTAAAATGTTAAAAAATAAAAAGGTTAAACTCAGCTGAACCTCGTAGCCAGCTGTCTGCTAGACTGGTCCCTGCAGCCTGTCTCCTCCTCCGCTCCAGTGATGGAATGCTCCTCATCGTCCTCATGCCCTATACACTGTATAGGATGTGATGACTCACAGGACCTTAGACCACTGGAGTGGAGGAGGAGCGAAGTGGCAGGGACCGGTTTAAGTGCAGCATACACATGTAACAACATACAATCTCTACTAAAATATGCAAGAAGGCAGCTGTGTGTTTTTCAGGTAGGAATATATTAGCATGTCAGCACATTTGTGTGTGTTCTGTAAATATATTCTATTTTGTGATAGTGGACCCTTCTTTAGGTTCACACCCAGGGCCAGATTTACTCTCTCTGCTGCCCCAAGGCCAGGTTCCTCAATGCACCCCCCTACCCGCCA